CAACATTCCCACATTCCGGGCCATCAAATCAAATGGTAGGGCGCGTTGAATAAGGAACGTCCCTCGACGGGGTGTTTTTAAGCTGTCCGGCATTATATAGTAGGGAAACTCCGAATAATACCCAATGCTTTCTTGTCGTCGCTTTGCTACTCGCGCACTTGCCCGGCGCATCGAAGCCCTGCCTCTAGCCAAAATTTCGCTAGAGCGGGGACAATTCGAACGCTGTCCGATGTGAGCCTTGTGTTTGAAATCTTAGCGCGCCTTTGCCGGGCGCCGAATAGGTCCCCGTTGTGCTGTCGTTCGAGACTAAACATCTCGAGAGTTTCCCTACTGTATTATACTGTGGTATAGGTATATTATATTCGTTATATATTTGGTTTTATAACAAACCAATCCATTTTCAAGGTTCCTTCGATCGAAACAGGGTTAACGAAATTCAAATTATTAAAAATAACAACTGTAATAATTAATGTTTACGTACCCAGGGGCGTTGCCACGGGGGAATAAGACTTGTAGAAGTAACTTCTACAAGGAAAGTAACGTTAGTAAAGTAACTTCTAGAAGTCTTATATCATTAGGAGAGTAAACTAAATTGTGGACTAAATTGATTTAGGAGATTAATTAGATAGGTAATTAAATTCCGAATTGAATCACCGACATTCCTAAAATTTATCCACAACCGCAAATGAAATTTTCGTCGCCTATCACTGAACCGATCGTTTTGTTGCAGATAAAAATATGGACGTTCCCATTCTCTTCCTCTTAACGGGGCTAGTCGCTTTGCAGGCGCTCTCCACAGAGTCCACGGGCTGCAGCACTGAATCCGACCACTGCCTGTGCTTATTCAACGGCACAGAATACGAGTTCCAATGCCCGCCCGTAAACAAGAAAATCCTCATACGCTCGGAACCAAATAATAGCCTGAACATCCATTGCTACGACGACATAAACAGTTTCGACACGACCCTCCTGCCCGTCTACAAGGGCGGGGAGCACATCTCGTTCACGTACAGCTCTTGCCCGCTGCCCGACGGCAATTTCCGCTCGATCCTGGATAAATTAGACGTTCACGACATCTACTATGTCAAGCTGGACTACGTTACCGTGCCCGAGTCGTCGGCGAAACAAAGCATGTCAAAGGAAGTGTTCGAGGACATGCCGTCCGTGGAGATTCTGTTTATAAATAATATCTACGGCAAGATCGACGATGACATCCTGGAGCATTTAACCAATTTGATTTTGTTTCAATTGTCCAGCTGCCACCACGAAATCATCAGCACTATGAAGTTTCCCGAGTCTTTGGAACATCTGTATTTCGCCAGAATGGGCATCACTGAGGTGCCCGTAGGTGTTTTCAAAAACCTGACCAATCTTAAACGGTTAAACCTGTTCGGGAACAAGATCGGTCGCGTCAGAAACGTCGCGTTCGCTGGCTTGAAAAATCTGATTTTCCTGGAGTTGAATATGAACAGCATAACAGACATTGAAGAGAACAGTTTTGATGATCTGAAGAACCTGGAGTTAATCAGTTTGACTAATAACTATCTAATCCGCGTGCCTGCGGACATATTTAAGCATAACGAGCGTTTGGAATGGATCAGTATGGAGAATAATCGCGGTTTAAAGCTGCCCGATTATATTTACGCGAACAAACCCTACTTGCTTATCGTGACATTGCATGAATGCGATTTGAAAACACTCCCGGGGAATATATTCAAGAATTCCACCAAAATATCTACCATCATACTGTCAATAAACTCACTGAAAACCTTACCCGAAAGCCTATTCGACGGATTGAATGACCTAAAGCTATTAGACTTGAGCTTAAACCAACTCACCGCCCTTCCCGACGATATATTCTACAGCCTAACGTCTCTCGAAGAGCTCATCCTGAGCTATAACCACCTGACCGCAATCACCAATGACCTCTTCAGGCGAACGGACCGGCTGAAGCGACTGTTGATCAACGAAAACCGAATCGCCTCGATCGAAGTCAACAGCTTCGGCAGCCTGACAAGCCTGACGGAAATCGATCTGTCCTTCAACCAGTACCCGATGAACGACATGATCGAAGAGAACCCGCTCAGCGGCTGCACAGACTTGGTTAGGATGAATCTGAGCCACAATCTGATCGATCATGTTCCCGATTTCAACACGCTGCTCAAATTGGAAACCGTGGATTTCAGCTACAATAAAATTACGGTGCTACCTGTAAGTGTTTAGATAGTTTTTTATTGGATGAAAATCCTTTTAAATTCATTCATAAACAAATTATTGGTACTAACATTAGAACTTTTACGTATTTGATTAACTTTTACGAAGCTTGTTATTATAGTTTACTAAGGTTATTGTTATCGCAGGTTCTCCAGATGAGTTCGATACCATCCATACACTTGTCGGACTTCAATTTGAGCGACAACTTGATAACTTTCGTGGACTTTACGATGGTAGAGGAATGGTTGATATCCGAAGACACGCGTAATAACGATAACAAGGACCAAGTGGTACCGAAGCAAATTCAAGTAAATCTGAAGAACAACCCGCTGACGTGCGATTGCCTCAACTACAACCTGACGCGCTACTGCCAGAGAACCATGTACCCAAAGGTGAGAGATCGGCTGGCCCTTCGGGTGGATGGCATCAAATGCACAAAGCCGGACGTCTTCCGGCACGTCGACATATCGGCGTTGAAGTCTGAGCACGTGTTCTGCGAAATGAAAAACAAGGCATGCCCGAAGCAGTGCAAGTCGTATTGGCGGCCGTTCCGGAACTTTACTGTATTCGATTGCTCGAACAGGAACCTGACGAGTTTTCCGCGTTTGCCGGAGATCGCCGTCCAGAATATCGAGTTGAATTTGAGCGGGAACGTCATTCACGGAGGATTGGATTCTAGCTTCGGGTACCGGAACGTTAAGAATTTGTATCTGTCGAATAACAAGTTAAGGGAGTTGAAATGGATACCTCTCGGTATTGAGGTAAGGGTTATCATAAACTAGTGAGAAAGTTAGCATTGTTTTTACAAGTATTTTGTTATTTCAGCGATTAACATTGGATAGAAACGAATTGACTCATCTGGATCCGGAGCTTCTGGAAATAATGGATAAAACCTCACTGACTACATTGAAATTGTCGCATAATCCTTGGTCATGCGGTTGTTCTGCTCTCAATTTCCAAATATTTATCCAGGATAATTACAAAAAGGTAATTAATTTTACTCTAATACCTTATACGTATCTATAAAAATATTTCAAATAAAAATCTGTTAGTCAAGCAAGAATAAACTAGACTCGTCCGTTAATTTTCAGTTACAAATGAAATCTACGGATGTAATCTGCAGAGACGACAACAAACCGCTGGTGGAAAAACACGAGCTGTGCAAATCAATCATTCTAGTCACAGTGTTGCCAGTGTTTACATTCCTCGTGCTCATAGTAGGCAGCCTGATATTTTACATCTACTACAGGCAAGAGGTGAAGATCTGGCTGTTCTCCAAGAATCTCTGCATGTGGTTCGTCAGCGAGGAGGAGCTCGACGAGGACAAATCCTACGACATCTTCCTCAGCTACTCGCACAAGGACGAGGACTTCGTCTTTCACAACCTCTTGCCGGTGCTCGAGTCCGAGCCGCATCCGTACAAGATCTGCATACACGTCAGGGACTGGGAACCCGGCAAGATGATCCTGACGAACGTCAACGATTCGATACAGAACTCCCGCAGGACGCTGGTGGTGTTGTCCAACAACTTCCTGGACAGCGTCTGGGGTATAATGGAGTTCAAGGCGGCGCACTTGAAGGCGCTGGAGGAAGGCAGACTGAGACTGATCGTGGTGAAGTACGGGGAATTGGACGAGAAGCGGATGGATCCGGACTTGAAGGCCTACTTGAAAACTAATACTTACATCGAATGGGGACAGCCTTGGTTCTGGAAAAAGCTCAAGTACGCGCTTCCGCATTCGAATAAAACTGGGTTCTACAAGACGAATCAGAAGCACGCGAATGTTATGTTAAAAATCGACGATAAGTTTGAGTTGACAAATCTCCCTGTGAAACAGCCGGAGAGTACTCCGCCTGTACCTCTGAATCCCGCGTTGCTTAAGAAGCAACTCTTGAATTTCGATAACGAAAACGCGGGTTCTAATCAACCGATGGAAGTGCCGTTAGTTGTAAATACATAATTTTCGTTTATTGTTGATGAGAATCTAGTGCGGTGAAAATTTTTAATCGATTGTGAATCGCAAGAAATATCGAATAAAAACAAGCTCTGTTCAATGATATTTTTCAATGGCGAAACGAAAATATTTGGCGTTATTATTAGGAGAATTATTGAGGAATATGTAATGACTTTGTTAACATATTTTTAATGGAGGTTTTGAAATTAAAAATTTTTTGGGTCCGTTTTTACCTAATAGTTAGGTAATAGTGAACTGTTTGTTGTTAGATATTGATAAGATATTAAATTAAGGATCGGCCTTTTTGTGCTCTTTGAAACTTTTTGTAAATTACTTAATCTCTCTAAATATAGTCTTTAAAAAGTAAGATTGAACTGATTTAACAAGGTTCTTGAAAAGGTCTGTCCTAAATATGTACAAATTGTAATTAAACATTGTAATAAGTATATTTATAAGTGTCATGAATTGTGATATTGTTTACACTTAAACGGTTATATTTTTTACAAAAATTTTAATTTTTAATGTTAATTCATTGATAATTTTTCTTTTTGTTTTTTTTTGAATATTTTTGATTTTAAACATTTCATAGGCTTATTTAGTTTATAAATTGACTAGTTATATATACGAATTTTTTATATAATGTTTATACAATACTAATTGTAAGCGTAATTTTCATATACTTTATTGATCAATAAAATGTGCAATTTGATATTTTTCATTAACCAGTATTTTGAATTTTTTGAAAATGCAAGTATTCATATTTAATTGAACTGAAATCATTTCCATCCTAGGTCCTTAATAGTACCAATCAATTTCAAATAAAAAAACTGCTACAAAATAAAATTATATTATTATGTCATTTACTATTTTAACAATAAAATAACAATCACCATAGAATAGTTAGTACAAAAAATAATTAAAATATTTAATAAATAACAAAATAGAATCACCTAAATCTCACTGTTTATATATTTTTTTATGTAATAACGGTTACATTAGAAATATTCAAGATCTTAGGATCTCGAGATTTTAGATTTTTCTTGAATTCTAAAATGTTTGAATACTCCCGTTATGTAAAAATCAAATGCATTTCATCACAAGTAACAAAACTGAAAATACCATATTTAATAATACTGTCCTATATGTGGAAGTAAATGAATAGATTTTACGATTTTAACGAATTCTAACTTACAAGTACAATTTTGTTATTCTTTGGAAAGAAAACGAAAATCCATTTTGCTCTAGTTCACCAAACATATATGATTCTCATCGCCTTAAAACAAATCAAAATCTTTTGAACAAAGCAATTAACTCAACAAAATTGTAACAAGATAAAATTTTAATTCTTACATTTTAACTTCTACCATTATTTCTTGAACTACTATGGTCGCGTTGAACACGTCATTTATCTAAACGTTTATTCAAAGCACAAAGGAACTGAACTAAAAGGAAGAATAGGACTGTTTTGTTCCTCTAACAGCGCCGTCGCCATCGCATTGCTGGCATTTTCGAATTCCCCTTCGGCCTCCAACACTTTACCCAAATTGTACCTAAAATCCCCGTATATTACCGACGTTCCTCTGTAGATCTATCGAATTTACACTTACCAAGTAATGTGGTTCTTCGGCTCGATTTTAGCGGCCTCGCGTAGAGTCGTCTCCGCCAAGCCCTGAAGATCCAAATAGTGGTAGACGAGGCCCAATTGCTGCAGCGACTTGACGTGCAGCGGATTAATAGCGACGGCGTTTTGGAAGCACGTTTTGGCATCGGACCACTCCTGTTTGTGCATGTGAAGCAGCCCCTTCTGTTAGAATCGATTTTATTAATCAATCGAAACCTCTCGGAAAGCGTTTCAATTACCATGTACATTATCTGATGGCTCAGCGGGTAGATCTGCATGGCTTCCTGTATGCACATTTGCACGTCGGACGGCTGGTCGAGGGCCAGGTACAGTTCGGCCAACAACAGCCATATCTCGACTTGCAGCATCCACGCCCTCTGCGGCCCCGGCCTCGGGTTGTAGCTGCTCATCGTGCTGGCCACCTCGCTGAGGGCCTGCTCCACTCGTGAAGCGGCTATGTTATGCAGATGCAACGAACCTAATAGCAAAAAACATCGTCTAATCGTGAAGAAAAGAAAAAAAAAGGAAGAAACGTCATCCAATGCTGAGTTATCTTCATTGCTTAAAGTTAAAACGTTTTAAAATGACAATGACGTCACGAGGTTGCCTGTTGCAATGCTCCAGAATCATTTAGAACTGTCTAGAACCATTTAGACCGCTGCAGAATCATTTAGAACTGTCTTTAACCATTTAAAACGCTTTAGAATCATTTAGAACTTTCCAGAATCATTTGGAACTGTCTTGAATCATTTAGAACCCTCCAGAATCATTTGGAACTGTCTTAAATCATTTAGAACGCTCCAGAACCTTTATTTTAGAACGCTCCAGAATCATTTAGAACGCTCCGGAATCATTTGGAACTGTCTATAACCATTTAAAACGCTCCAGAATCATTTAGAACTGTCTAGAATCATTTAAAACGCTCCAGAACCTTTATTTTAGAACGGTCCATAAACCATTTGGAGCTGTCTAGAACCATTCAGAACGCTCCAGAATCTTTTAGATCTGTCTAGAACTATGTAGAAGGCTCCGGAATCATTTAGACCTGTCTAGAACCATTTAGAACGCTCCAGAATCTTTTAGATCTGTCTAGAACTATGTAGAAGGCTCCGGAATTATTTAGATCTGTCTAGGACCATTTAGAACGCTCCAGAATCGGTTAGAACTATCCAGAATTATTTAGAACTGTCTAGAATCACTTGGACCGCTCCAGAAAAAGACAAAAATCACTTGTCAACTATAAATAGCGGAATTTTGAGACTAACGATATGGCAACAACGCATCGGCATTTCAACCGCGCAAGTAAAATTCCCCTAGTCAAATGGCAGCATTAACATTGGCACTAGGGACATTTTGAACTACGTGGAAATTACTAAAAATTACGTCATTGTCATTTTAAAACGTATGAATTTTTTATATCTGCATTTACTTGAATCTTTATCGGACATTTCAGAAGTGTACAATTGGAAGACGGATCTGGTATCGCTTTTTCTATCACATTCGGGCACGTCCGAAATCGTTTGGCCTTCGTACAGGTTTTTCCACAGCTCCAACATTTGCTTGGCCGTTATTAGGGCTTTCTAAAAGCGAATCGTTCGTTTAAAAAATGAAACGTGACAAACGCGCAGTATTCGTCGGGTACCTCGGGTCCCTTTTCGTGCAAATCCAGGTACGCTTTCACGTACACGAGATTCAAACTGTCCGGGTATTCCTCGAGGGCGTTTTCGACGACCAGCAGGGCGTTGCCGTGCTGCCTTTCGGCGGTCAGGAGGAGGATGAGCAGGTGCAGCGAAGAGGAATGCTCGGGTTGCAGGTCCAGGCCCACGCAAACGTGCTGCTGGCCCTCCGGGATGTTTCTCATCAGGGCTAACTGGAGGCCCAAGTAGTAGCGGCAGAGGTGGTCGTTCGGTTCTAGCTCCACGGCGCTGGAAAACGGTTTATTATGAATATACAGGGTGTATCTAAATAATTAATAAAAATTTAAGGGGTGATTCTTTGGTTAAAATTAAGGTTGGTACAACCATAGTTTTATCTATTCATATTGACCTTCAAAAACGTCAATCTTTCTCCTACCTCCTAAAATTCGCAAGAGCCTTATTTCTAAATTGCTCCTTGTCCTTTATCAGCTGAGTCGACTCGGCTTGCAAGTGATAACCGATTCCTATGTACAAGTGGCACCTGCCCAAGAGGCCTCCGGGTGATGTTAAAGACTTTTCTCTGGCTTCTGTACTGAATGTAATGCCTGAAATACGAAAATAAAGACCATATCAAAAGCACACTTGTATCAATTGTATTACAAAAGATGCGAGTGACCCATTACGAACAAACTCGAAGGATTTGAGATCAGCGATATGATTACACAAACAAATACAAACCTTCTTGGGGCAGATTAAGTTGCTCATAACACAATTTGGCGGCTAAAAGGTAATTGCTGGGATCGTTGGGTTCCAACTGTATGACTTCCTTCAGCACCTCCAGCGATTGCTCGTACCTGTTGATGGTCATCAAACTGAGGGCGTACTGTTTCCACATGTGAGCTTCTTGGAAAGAAAATTTCATGGAACGTTCCAACGACTGAAACACAACGCGGCTTGTAGTCGAGTCATCGGTCGTTTTAGTTAGAAATACCTCTTCGAGCAGCATCGTTTGGCCCCAACGGACGGTCGCAATGGCGAGCAAATCGTACACGGCGACCGCTTCTTGAAAAGCGCTAAGTCTGATATCTCTGAATTCGGGAGACTGCGATAGTACCGTGTTCCTAACAGCCATGGATTCCGCCACTAATATCACCAAAATAGCTTCTTCGAACTCGTTCCTCGGTATAAACTGCAAATTAAAAATCACCTCGAATTAATCCAACCCACTAGCTATCTGTAGTAAGATGATAGATGATTAAAGATACATCACTTTCGTGCATCAATCCACCGACCTGATTCAACGACGTGTAATATTTGGGCTTCCAAGCGGACGCCTTGTGCGCGGAATGTATGGGGGCCTTGTAGCTCTCGCCCAGCAGGCCGCGCAACAGCAGCTCGGCCATTTGGCACATTAATTTCAGTCGGATGTTGTTCACGCCGTGCGCTTCGATGGCGCAGAGGGAGCTCCTGTAGCGCTCGAGCGCCAATTCGGGCTTGTTCTGTTGCAGGAGCAGAGCAGGAGCCAGCTGGATGGCTTGCTCCAGGATTTCGCCCAAGGGCTTCTGTTGCGCAGGCGGTTGCGGCGAGTGACTGCCTAAAGAAACGAGAAAAACTGAATTATTCTCAATAAAACTACTTAAAAATTAACTACATATCATTAGTTTCATAATTCAATTGGTTCGATAGATATGTGATGTGGTGCAAATTAGGTTTATTATCAACCTACAACCCAAGTATCTGATTCAAAATTACGCGTATTCTAACGTGTTGAAATATTCGAAGGGGTATTGTGGGTATTGATTAACCTGTGTTGGAACTAGGGACCGACGAAATGAACTCTTTTTCCAGTTTCTGCATGTATAGCAGGCTTAAATCGGTGGACAAGTCCAAGCACTTGATCATTTCGTCGATTTTTTCGGCCCTTTTGAATTTACTGGCGGCCGTGTCGTCTTTTTGTAAACACAGGGCTTTCACTGCGTACGATTCCGCAACGATTTTTAAACTCCTCCTAAAATGTAACAGCGTATAGGGGAAAAAAGTGTAAGGGATTTGCGGTACTTACAACGGGAGCTTTTTTTCTTTTATGTGGTGCAAATCTGCCAATCGAAAGTGATTCAAACCGTCTGCGTATTGTCCGCAAGCGTATTGTAGTTTTCCCAGTAATAAATGGGCATCCATGGCTACACCGGCCTGGAAATATTACAATTAATAGCCAGTATTTGAAGTCTTAAAAAATATCCAAGAGATGTATTGCAGTTAATTGCATTTAGTGATTTTATTTCAATCGTACAAAACAATTAGATGTAAAAAAAATAACATCAATAGGTCACTTTACAATCCTGCTTCATGCATATGGATGAAACAATGATAGAGATAAGTTATAATGACCTGTAAGTTATAATATTTTTGTCATAATAGCCAATAAACAAAGGTATGTAATTAAAAGTTTCCGACTATACGATTAACCTTGAATTTAATTTCTAATGAACTTTGAATAATGTTGTACCTTAATTCCAGCTTGTGTAACCACCATGTTTAGGTAACGTTTTGCCTCGATTAAACCGATTTTGGCGGAATTGATGTTTTCCTCGATGGGTGGCCATTCTTCCAAATAGTTTTCTAATTTACCCTCACCGATGAGAAAATCGGCCAAGCACACTGGAATAAAGTAAAGGGATTGTGAACAAGAGTACTTAAGATAAATAGGTTTAAAGTTTACCAGAATCCGGAGACTTGTCTTTGAGCTGCTCGGCAAGTTCTATCACCCTCAACCAATTCGATTCTTCCCTGCTTTTTTCTATTTCCACTTCTATTCTGGTCGCGCCGGATTTCACGCGGCTCGACATTATTCTAATTTAACTGATTCTAGTCCTATTTTACACGTTGATCGAAACCATTTCAATTTCAAATCTATATTATTATTATGACCACTGTCAAAGTTATTCGTAAATATAACCTTAAAATTAAGTGACACTAATGACATTTGTGACCTACCTGTTAATGTAGAGATGGAAACGGCCGTCTGTTACAAACAAATTTACAAAAAAAAGCGTTTAGTTATTTGTTACTGTGAGTAATTTAAAAATAATTAACCACAGAATTCTATTTTGAATAATATATTTAGTTCTTATTTTGTCGTTTTATTTGAAATGTGGAGTGTAAAAAAAGTAACTGAACGGGTAACGTTATTTACTCGAGCCCACCTCTAACATATTTAAAATTATTTTTTGCCTTCTCTATCAAGAATTAATTAATGCTATTAATAAAAATCCTTTACCGGTAAGGCAAAGTAACTTCAAAATAAATGTAAGAAAGAAAACAAATTTTTCCTCTCAATAATCAATCAATCAGTAATTGAAAAGGCTAAAATTTTATTAAATGAAAGATGAAAGTGAAGGATGTATCTGTCAAATAATTATAAAATTGATTGGGGTCAGTTTGGCGTAATATGGGTTGCCTATACGAAAATACATGAAGTTTATTTTAGAAGAATTTTCACTTTCCTTGCGAATTTTTTGCAATAAAATTTAACGAACTCAATAACGTAGTCGCATAACGATTAGCTTTACAATAAAATTCACGGGCAAGTATTTATAGACCAGCAATATCGACCAAAAACGTTGCAAATGAGGGAAAGTCATGCACACAGGTCGCGGCTGAATGAAAATATTCAAATTCGGGATCTAAATCTAGGTGTATACATTCATTAACGGAAAAAAGGGGTGTGTTTAGCGGCATAGGAGCGGTCATGACCCAGATATTATCCCTCTAATTAGCATCGAATCGATAAAAGTTAGGCCCTTTAAATCCAGGAGAGACCGCATTTTTCTCCGGCCTGAACCCCGCTAAGAAACGAACCACACCGGACGAACCCCCACCGGAGCGGCGGGATGGAAAAATGAAAATTCCACGGGTTCGTTTTTTACGCGTCGCGCGTCGCATAGGAATTGCGTTTACCGCACCCGCACATCAGCAAAGAGCGTCGACGGCGCGACGCATCGCGTCACGCGGCGTTGCCACATCTGACGTCGCTAAATATCCCTGCTAGATTATATCGTTTCGTCGCAGGAGAAATCTAGGTGAGATCGTCGGGATATCGAAAAGCTCGTCTTGATCACGCTTTATTTTGGGATATTAGGATTCTTATGTAAAAATTGTATTGTTGTAAATATGACTGTTTATTCGGTTTCAAAAATTTGGGAACGAAGTATTGGGAATAAGTATATTTGATTTTTTTAGTCAAGTTTTAAAGTTTATTTTATATGTTTTATATATTTTATATATATTTTACATAATTGTTTTATTAATAGGTATGTATGTATCTTCTTGATCAATGAATAAGGGAGTACAAAAATAAGGTTTTCCTAATAAGTTTTCATATGAATAAAATTATAGTTCTTATAAATGTATAAGCATTTCCTTAAAGTTTACATTTACTAGAGTGAATTTGCCAAAGCATGTTATCTAGTATGTATTTCTTAAATTTTCCAAAACGATTTATTCCTGAAACTTTTTGGGTATTTTTCTTTAAGATTTGTGAAAAAAACATATCTCCAATATCCATAAAAAAATTAAATAAAATAGCATTTCATATGAAAAAAGATTCACAATCCAATAGACAATTTTAAAATTCAATTCATTTAAATTTCACCTCTGCAGACTCTTCTAAACGGTAATTTTTTTTCAAAGTTGGCCGTTACAATTTGACATTTACTGTTTGACAATTGACGTTTACCACAAACAAGTCCTACCATTTTTTTGATAAAAAAAAATTATGAAAATAAAATACACCTACCGTTATTCCCTATCAAGCAGCTTATGTAAAACAAAACCTATATCGAGTTTTGTAGGAAATTTAGGGAGGCTTGACAACGCCGGCGCCACGCCACGCTTCAAGAGCGCGCGAAAGCCAGAGATCCGTCGACTGTTTGACGCATTGCAGGTAGAACCCGGCCAATCGGAAGCGCCGACTCGTCCAGTCAACGTTGTAAACAAGCCGCACCCGACGTTTGAAATTGACATTTCATGCGCATCGACAACGGTTCCCGCGCCGCATACCCAACAACGGCCCAATCCGCCCGGCTGGGCTGACAATTTTCGAAATTTTACCGCATTGTTTATCGAAATCGGGCGCACGGAAGCGTATTTTGAGGGTATTTTCGAAATCTGCAAACGCTAGTTGTTGGCGTAGGAATATTCCAACCGGTCGGTGTCGTAGCCGCTGTATTGCGCTTTGGTAGTTTCGCAGCAGGCCGGACCGCCCCTCTCCTCGCCAACGTCGATCCCAAACAAAACGAGAAAAGACAGTTGGCTGGTGCACTTTGGCGAGAGTCGTTGTTAGTTGCTTCGTTGTGTCGACATTTTCTGTTTAGTGTACCGAATATCCTGAAATATCACCATGGTGAGTATGCATTGGTGTCCATCGAGCGCCCCGTCGTCCTTCGAGCCCTTCAGGGCGCTATTCTGCGTGCGTATTTTCGAATTCGCCCGAAAGATGGTTGCGAAATTTCGGTAAATAAGTTTCGCGATGACGAACCGGTGAATAATCTGCCGCAATGCGGAACTCCCGTTTGTACCAACGAAAATAACTCGATGTTCGTTGGGATTGTTGCACCCGTGTTTTTCGCTCGGGATGCGGTTGATGTCCGTTTGAAACGTCCTATCGATCTGTTGCATATTGGGTGTTGACAATAACAAACGTTGACGTTTTTTTTTTTGTATTTCGTAGGCTGACCAACTCACCGAAGAACAAATTGCCGAATTCAAAGAAGCTTTCTCGTTGTTCGATAAAGACGGCGATGGTACGATTACTACGAAAGAATTAGGTACAGTAATGAGATCTCTAGGACAAAATCCTACAGAAGCTGAATTACAGGATATGATCAATGAAGTAGATGCCGATGGTAAGTAAACATCCCGATTTTCTTGTGCTAAATACCGACAATTAATACGGTTTAATTTACCTCTGGTTATTACTTTGGAAGGTTACTGGTTAATCCGATCGAGTTGGCTTTTTTTTGTAATACATGCCTACTATGATGCGTTGTTTAATTGAATAGCTTTATTTAATTTTTGATAAGATCGATTAAGGGAGATTATAATTAGATAAGATTCGTATGTTACGCATTTAATTCGCGATAAACGTTGAAATTATGCGATTTAAATGGCTGGTTTATTTGAAAATTATTTTTAATATTACGGGTTTTCGGAGTAAAGCGTTAAAATTAACAGTTCATTAAATGTTGGTATTTTAGAGAGTTATACCGAAATATGGGTTGTAACAAAAATCGTTAATTTTAATAGGTCATTTAAATTTAATATCTACTTCATATATAATTTCCAACTCTCTTGTATTAAATAATCATATTTCTTTTGGTTATTTTATCTAATCTTTTATAACAAAATGAATCATTACCTTAAATAAAATGTCGGAATAATTTTTCGGTAACTTTGAGTATTCAATTATTACTCGCGTCATAATCAGAACCTAAATAGGCTAGCGGGCATGTTTTTGAAAACATACTGGTATTCATATTTGAAAAAAAATTAAATTTCATTATAATTGATGCAAAAGAATGCTCAAAAGATTCGTTAAAAAAATAAGATATATTTTCTATGTAAACGTGGAAAGACAAAGTTGCAAACTCTTGGGCGTTACCTAGATGGAAAATGCTAGAGTTACATCAATACTCCCGCCATGAAACTTGCGATTTTAATGGGATTATCTAAACGGGGTACCTTAAATCAATATTGATGGAAAGCTCAGTGAAATTGTATCAGTAATGTCAATAGTATTTGCAATTGTATAGACCACTCAAACAAATCTTTAGACTTAATAATCCTTTAATAATAATTGTAAACGGATTAATTGACTTCCTTAAATGAAGCATTAAATTAATTGTCATTTGTCATATTGACGTTAACTGCCATGACATCCTTGACTTATAATGATCGTTTTACATTGAATAATAATGCAAATTAATAAATTATTACATTTCTTGACGCTGATGGAATTTTCAGAAAATCACCCGGGGGCTTTAAAAGTCGTATGTAATTAGGAAAATCCCGAGCCTGCTCTAATTTAGTTTTGCTTTTACCATGGTCTCTGTACCATAGATTATTGAAATATAAAAGTGTTCCTTAATGTTACACTTCAAACATAAAGAAAATCATTTTTGATGACCACTTAAAAGCGCTTTTATGTTGCATTCGAAGTGCATGATTTTCCGATAATTGGATATCATATTTGTTTCAGTTATTTTTAAGGATTTTTTTGAGTTGAGAGATTGTTTTATTCGTTTTATAAATCTAATTACAGTTATAATTGAGCGGTTTTTCTTTCATTCGTCTTCATTGAACAGATTTTCTTCTCGCCTTAGTTATTGGATTATTTTTAATTGCGTTTTTAATATTTTTGTATACTAATTCTACTTTAGATTTCGTAAGTATTTTATTAAAGGTTCAAATTTAATATGTCTTCTGAATTATCAGAAATCGAAGTTTCATTGGAATATTTATTAGAATATTTACCTTGTATTTTTAAATGAAAGTGTGCTCTAGGTACTTGTTTTATATCGAATAATGAGCCAAATTAGATGACTTACTCATTATTTATAATTCACAAAATTATCAATTACAAATTTTAAAATTCAAAATATGTATTTGCTCATATTGATTATATTAATTTTCTTCCTTAAAGATTAACTTTTCGTACACAAAATACAGCAGAATATTTTTAATATACACATTATAATACAGTGAGAAATATAAACAATTTATCAATTTTACGTACGTCATAAGTTATCGATAAAAAAATGTTAGTCGTTTAAAATTTAATTTGAACTCTCCCATATGAACAAATATATTTGAAACGATTAAACAGATTTTTCAACGTATGCTAATTTGTTGATTACATGTTGCGCCAAAAATATACGAAATTAAATTAAAATGGATCTTGAACTTGTACTGAATTTTACGTGAAGTCAATAGTAAAACGTACCTACTTCTCAATGTGAGTACATATTTTTTTTATTTTTTGTGTATACACAAAAAATGTTCATCTCTGGAAATTGAACTTTACCCGGGAGATAGACCATCAGATAAAGCATCATTTTGAAGATAAGATAACTTTAATGGTAACTGCTTGTTAACATTTGCGGAGCAAATGAAATTACCGGTGAATAAATTTATTTTTAATGCGGACAGATTGATTGATACCTCAAAGGGTATTTTTGGATCGTTCATTCTAAAAGATAACGGATGATAAGTAATAATATCACTTCTAAAAAAAGCTTGAACTGTTATCTAATTATAATAAACAGGCTGATGTCATTTTGACAAACTTAAACTTAAAAAAAATCCAGTAAAAGCTCAATTTTTAAAAAAATAAAAAAAAATCTACTATAAAAAAACAAAAATTTTCATAAATAACAGCTAAAAAATCAAATTATTTCGTAGTAATGTAATAAACTACTTCATTTATAATAACTGTGTAAGATAACATTAAATGTATACGCATTTTTTAATAATGTAAGAGCAATTGAAGTGAAATTTTCCGCGAAATAACTAAAATAAATAAACTCATTCGCTGAGAATCGTTGATATTTAAACGGCAATTTCGTTAAAGCAATTAAACACCTTCGAAAAGTTTCAAATGGAGGTAAAAACGCACATTTTCTCACTTTGAGATTCCAAATTCACAGAAACGTTTTAATTTAATGACATCATTAAATCTTAATTCATATCGTTTTCCAGTTTAATTGTGTTATATCGGGGCAAATCAATCTTCGTTATATCAGAGAATTATCAACAAAGTATGAGGTATAAAAATAAATTACCAATGAAATAAAATAGGCGGTTCCGAACAATATACATATGTATAAAATCTAATTTTGGCTGCAATTTACAATTTTATATACTGCAAAAAATGTGAAAATTTTTTGAAGCACTTCTCTGTAAAATTACCCGTTTATTAAAAAAGTTTGATCGAAAAAAATATGAAATGTCGGCCCCGTTTTCCGTTTCCGTGCACTTGTAGCGTGCTTGCTCTTTATCGCAATATTTTTTTAATTACAGTGAATTTTAAATAACGAGGGTTGAAATTTATTATTAAAAATGGTTGCTGATAAAGTTGAACATTGTGTGGGCATTTCTTCAAGTTGTAATTTTCACAATTTTTACGTTGAGAAATATAATTTTTCTCTCGACACTTTTTAATATTTTTTTATATTAACTTTTGTCTGAAATCCAATACACATGTCGATACAAAGTAACTTAAAAAGTTTGAGATTTATGAAACCTTAAATTTCATGTATTATATTACGTTTCAAGAAGTCTTAGTAAATAAACTATATGTGTCGAAATGTTATTCAAGGAATAATGTAATAAAATTGTGTAAGCTCTAAAAGCAAAATTATATTTGTAGAAAAGCAGTAAAAAATCTCAATGCCGCTTATTTGGTTTACTCTGATAGCATTTTCCACTATTATCATAATACCTTGATCTAGAGCTGGTGTGAATCGAAGAACCCTGGCCCTAGCGGTGCCGAATACCGCCATATCGATCGCAGCCTAAAAATATCTTGAACCAATTAAACTACTTTTCCAAAAAGAAAGCCGTATCCAGGTAGATCGGTACTGAAAGTTTGGCTGTTCGAAAGTTTGTGGAAAAGTTTGGATCTACGTAAATCACGAAATTTACCGAGGAAACAAATATCGCAAGTAAATACTTTATCAGCGTCGGGACATTTTTTTATTCTTATACAAACACGATAACTGTCGCTCAATACAATTGAAAATAAAATAATTCATTTGATGTTCTGTTTGTAATTGAATGGTAACAAAATAACGGCATGAAAATACCTGTTCTAAAATTTATAACCTATCTACTAGTTTATTCATATTCTAAGTGCTCGTACAATCAATGAACCCGCATGTAGATTATGTTTTTACGCATTAAATAATTTTACTCTAAAATTTTGTAAATATAGTAAAGTTTTATTCGTTATGTTTAGTTTAATATTTAAATGTAATTAGTGGAAACAATGATAAATCTGCAAATATGCTAAACATTGTATCACATACGATATAAATATTTTTTGTGGATTTCAGTGGATTCAAGGATTTCTTAAAAAAAATCCAGATGCCTAATTAGGAATAATTTTCGTAGTTGCTTAATAATAATTATTATTAAATACCTAATTATTATAACAATTATTGATAAAATTTGATTATAGTTATTCAACTAAAAAACTACATAGTTAATTTTTAAGTATAATAATTATTTACTATAATTATTACCGATGCCCGCAAAACTTTGCGTAATTGAATACTTAAGGAAATTGGTAGATATTACGTACATAATTTGCAAACCTTTACTATTCGTTGATATTCCAAAAATAATATTCTATTAACGAATTTTCTGCATTTCCAAAATAAAACAAAAGGCCTCGCAGAGGCGAAATTGGGTAATGTTTTGTTATTACTGATGTTCGAGATATAGTATCGATTGCGTCGCTTCCATTTCTATCGAAAATAGAGAGCCAAATTGTGCCAGAAATTACGTGGAAATTGAACACGCGATTTTACCATCACCACAAACGGCTCTTTTGCGGCGTGCACTCATGTCTAGTCGGTCCGCCGTAACGCGTCCTTTTCACGTGGGCGAGCTTGTTATGCACACTGAAATCACCTGTATACCTGCCGATCGTTTATCGATTGGCTTTCCTCGAATACGCCAGTTTAATATTCCCCAATTTCGGATAATTAAACCAGAATTAATTGGGGGCTTTTTTGTATTCAATACCTTCAATATCTAATACCTTCATAAATGTAGGTGTAGCTTTCACTATTTTTTATTGCGTACCTACCTACTTGCAAATTTTAATTAAGTATTTTTTAAATTGACAGAATTATAAAATACACGATTTACGTCATGCAAGTTTTATCGAATTATACCAATCGATAAAATCTTTCACAAAGCGAACTTTAATCCCACTCTAAATTAAATAGTATTTTTGATCAAAATACAAATTTATGGCTACAAAAAGTATCCATTCAGTAATCAAAGGAATTTCAAAAACCACTAACACCGTTTGTCACTTAGATATTTATTATTTTCTAATGTGTCAAACAACTTACCGTTTATTCTACCACATTATACTGTTATCAAACGCCTATTATTTCGTAAAATAAACAAATATCCCGCCGTAGCCAGAGATTTATCACATTTAGGAAACCTGTTACGCATATTGATCTGATATTTTGACTCGTCGAAATGCTTTCGCTTTCGACATTTTGCTCATTATAAAAATAAATATTGTAACATTACCGACTCGAATGGAACGAGCGCGTTTCAAATACTAAATCGATACAAAAGATGCATCGTATTTTTACTCCGTCTTTAATTTGAAACATCAATAGCGATTCAATGAGTTACTAAAATAGAGACTTTAAAATAGATACTATAAAAGATTCAATTATCTAATTCTGGGAGTCATTTACTAAGGAAAGAAAGTCGATTGTTTTTATAGAGGAAGTCAATATCTAATCAAGATATTATTGTATGCGTTAAAGAGAATCGTTTAAGAATACATAAATAATTAGTATTGGCAAGACCTTATTTTTCATCATTTATAGTAGCTTGATATAATATAAAAATGCGAGAAGACTTTTCTGAACCTCCCTTCAGAAGAAAATGATCTACAAAGAAAAATGCCACGTTAATAATTCAAACTCGCGAGGGTGTCGGCGAGAAAATATTCAGTGCTCGGGTAATATCAGACCTGACATTTCTGTTGTAGAATTTCCACCTAAAAGAATAATGAAAATTTTGATGGGTTTGTTTTGAAAGTCTGGGACGATTACGTAAAATTTCATTTCGCTCCTTGTTCGTCCGACAACTGTATCGCGAATATTTGAATTTATTTTCCAGCGATTTAATGCGTGGCATATATGAATTACGTGCGGCGCTGAAAATAATCGGCGAATTTCCTTATTGATTTTTCCTTAAGTAATCGCTCGATTTGCATGGAAACTCATTCACCTTCAAAGGCCATTAGGCACGATGTGTTTCGTGTGATTTATCTTTCTGCATAGGCGAAACGCGTACTTGAGTTTCGATTTTTTTAACGTGCCTATTACGTGTTTAAAAAATTATGGGATTATAGGAATTTAGAAAATTGTAAGGTTTTTCCTTAACAAAACGTTAAAAAACATTGATCGTTATTGTTTGTAGATGTAAAATATTTACTGATATGTTGAAATGCGGAATGTTTACACCAATCTTAAATTTTATTAGTATAATTAAGCAGAATATCTGTCTATAATGGTAAAGATTTAAACGGATTATGTCGCGTATTGTTGAAATACTAAATATAGGAAGAATTTATTAAGTTATTTTTCACTGTTTTATCATGAGGTTCCTTTATAATTTGTAGGTATTTTAAATTTTTTGCACAAATCTTATTTTCTTCATTATACATATTGTCATAAAAATTTGTGGCTGTTTAATTGAACAAAATTTTAAGCGTGTATTCAAATAAATTCCATTACCATTTTGCTATATATTCCGTCGTTAATGGCTTGTAATAAGTGCCTATTACATTAACATTTCCCTTGATGTTTACATTAGCCGTAATAAAAATTAGTATTGTAGTTATGGGAATTTTAACCTATTTTTTTTCCTTAATTTTTAATTGCACATTTCATACTAATATCTGCGAAAATACTTATATTTAGGCGACTTGTTTACAAATAAAAGCCCTGCCAAGTTTCACTTAAAATTTTTCCGCTCCGCCGGTTTTTTGTTTAGGTTAAGCATTTGATAGATCATGAAACTGACATGATGCTTAACTTAAAAAATTAGTATTTTATAATTTCAATAAGTGATATTTTTATGCCGCAATAAACTACTAACGTTGAATGTGCAACACAAACAAGTATTAAAAATGTGCTAAAAATTCGAGTGTACTTGACGGGTAAATTTATCTATTTGAATTCATTGAACATCCATGATATCATAAAAAGGATGTAATAAGGTATTTTTATTGTTCGATAACTTTGTATACGCTCAATTTGCGACACATAAAAACTTTGTGGAAATATTTGCAGTTATTTCGAATTGCCCGCCCTCAATAAATACATCTGTTTCCATAAATGGAAAACTTAGGCCATCAACTTATTAATCACGCATCCTTAGATACAATAAATGAGTCATTTTGCGCGAAAAGCATGACTAAAATATATATTAGCCTAATTATTGTTTCTAAATATTTACACCCACATCTGTTTCTTTAAAATACAATTATAAGTATACATGCCAACTAGAATACAATAAGACTAATACATTAATTTCACACAAATATTTAAAATTTGAATTGCCTTGTTTGAACAAAAAATCGACTTTGTTATACAGGGTATTGTACAAATGTTTAATTTTGTAGACAATTTGCTAATTAAATTTGAGAATTCTAATAAAGTGGAACAATTCAAGCATATTGTTGTCGGTGTAATTTTCTCATATGAAACATCTGGAATTCGACAATGAGCAGCTAACAAGTTAATTTAATATCGCATAAATTTGCCGCGAAAGTGTTTTTTAATTATGTGCCAGATTGTACCTTGTCATGTTAGAAAATTTAGGAAATTAATTCCATATGGTTTCTTGTAGAGCTGAAGGATTTACTATAAAATACAGCCACTTAATAATGCATAAAATATTAGCTTAAAAAGGAAAAACTATATTAAAATGTGTATATCAAAATTATTATTAAGAAATATAACAGTGAGTCAATGGTCAAAAGTTGAAGATCATGGGAACAATTTGTTTCATGTACTATTCATTAGACTAATTCTAATAATTAAACTGATACATTATATTAATTACATGAAAAATTAGTAATCATTAAAACGAAGTAAAAACATGTTTTTAAAAGTCTGAATTAAAGAAATTTGAACTTCCTTGAACAATTCACTATCACCAAAAGGAAATGATTAGGTTCACGATTATGTCGCGCTCGATTAGGCTTCCGGTAAGGTATTAATAACTCCAGAAGTTTACATATTTACACCTCTATGCCTTCTTGATCCAATTTTACACATCTTAGCTGGGAATTTCCCTAAAATTTCCCCGCTATCAAATCGCAAAAACGCAAAATTAAATTCGCCCGGAACGAATAAAAAAAACTTCTTTTTGTTTATCTCTGCGAGCAGATGGCAAAAATTGCCGTTCTATTCTCTTATGGCGAATATTCAGGCATAGATTTCGTGTGGTACATCCAATAAATAAACTCTTGTCACGATCCTAACTTATAAATCACCGCGAAAATTAAAATAGACCGGCGAATTCAAACCTAATTAGCGATAACCGAATATTCGCAATGGGTAATTAACGGATTGGCAAGCAAAATTAATCAATTAATAAATATGATTTTTGCTGTTTTTAATAGTTTTAGGATTTATTCCAAAAATATCAATTCTGGATTCATAAAAAATATACAGCGCTATGTAGACAATTGAAGGTTGCGATTTTTTGAGAAAATTAGCCCTAATTTGTGTCCCTCAATTACAAACCATAGGCAGTTAAATTTTAAGCTCTCTCTTAGAAAACTCGTCGATGTGTGCCAATTTAAATGCGAATTGTGATTTTTTTTAGGTAATGGAACAATCGACTTCCCAGAATTCTTAACGATGATGGCGCGTAAAATGAAAGACACAGACAGTGAGGAAGAAATTCGCGAAGCATTCCGAGTATTCGATAAGGACGGTAACGGTTTCATTTCGGCGGCGGAGCTGCGCCACGTGATGACCAACCTTGGTGAGAAATTGACGGACGAAGAAGTCGATGAAATGATTAGGGAGGCCGATATCGACGGTGACGGTCAAGTCAATTACGAAGGTGAGTTTTCCTTTGGAGGCGTCCGCGATGTGCTTGGTTTACATTCGTATAGGGGGGTGTGTGGGTGGGCGATTGATGGAGATTTTTTTGGGGGAAAGTGTCAAAATTTTAGGTGTAAAGCTTTTGACTGATGCATTTGTGGGGTTATTTAAAATTCGACGTTCATAATAAGGACATTTTCTTATTTTCCAACAATTGATAGTATACAGGGAGTCCCGTGACTTGATGTACATAGCTTAGGAGGATATTCCTTGGTCAATTATAAGTCGAAAATTTCCTATACACTTTTATTTAAGGAATTATGGTGATAATATAAATCAACTGAGGGTGTATAAAGAACTGTAATATGACCTCCTTTCTTGCTTCTGTAACAATTGAAGATGTAGCTCTATGAAGGGTATCGGGATCATTTCATATGGATGCAGCTGCAGTCACAATGTTAACAATTAGCTAAGATCTGTTTTGTGGTGAATTAGAATACACTAAACTCTTCATATGTCCCCAAAGATAATAGTCAAGAGGTGTTAGGTCTGGTGATCTCGGAGGCCATGGAACAGGACATCCTCTTCCACTTCTAGAACAGTTTCTAGTAGCCCAATAAAGAAATCTTTATTGCTCACAATTCATCGAGTCAAGGGACATCCTGTTATAATTTAAAAAGTATAAAATCGATAAAACGATATTTCGTTGTAACTAAACAACGAAGCAATTTATATTCATCAATATTTAATCGTTTATATAAAAATGTCGGTTGAATTTTAAATTATCCATTATATTACAAGGATTAATTAATATTCATGCAGGTAAATAGATCATTTAAAATATTAAAGTAGCATTTACACAAATCCAGTCAAAAGTAAAAAATAATAATCTGTTTGACATACTTTTTTCTATTTCCGTTTACTTTACCTTTATTTAAATTACGTTTAAAAATTTGAAATTACTCTTGTTGTCTTTTAGTACAATGTGTGCATAAATATCTTCTATATTTGTTGTGAATGTTTCTATCTTCTTTTAACAGCATAACTGCCCTACTAGCGCTACTTTTCTAATCGCCATCACTCTTGTCTCGTCTTTTTAGTGTTCTTAATTCGACTTTATCGCTGTTTTACGAGTACCGAAAGCGAGCGTTTTCTTATACGCTTTCGAATCGAACGTACTTTGAGGCATTTCGTCCAATTTGGGCATCTTGCTGATAAAAAGCGTGCCTTTTAGTTTTACAGTTTATAGATTAAATTGCAAAGCTCACGTGTGGATCTCCTTTGTGGAATCAATAGAAGCTATCAAAGGTTAATTAAATTCACATAATTATTTATTGATTTACTGTAACTCGGAATAAATTATCTACGAAAATTAATGTTATAAGAGAACACTTTGTTATAGAGATATAATCGTTAGATAAATTCGCGTAGATAATCGATTTTTTTATCGTTTTCCGAAGCGAGTTGAGGTGGTTTAATGTTAAATAATTGGTATGACAAAATTAGGCGCTTCCGTTTACACGTTACATGAAATTTTCCTAAAATAATTTCTGTAATATCCGCTTCTTATTTCTGTTCGGGGACTATAAACCCAAAAAATTAACAATCCGCCTTTGCCTATTCTAATATTAGACTTCTTACTATTAACTCACTATTTGTAGACAGGTATTATGAGGACATAACAATAACATATTCTGATATAAGAATTATTTATAGAAAATCATTTTAATTAACTTGTCTATTGTAGATAGTTGATATTTAACATATTTTTTCAATGAATTGACGTACAATTTAATTTTCCTCCATTAAAATTAACCAAACGTTTACTTTTACACAAATTATTAACTATTACAATCTTTTTATTTACTAATTTCGATAAAGGTGCACATTAAATAGTTTTTAGTAGTTGTAAATTAGTGAATTGAATTTAGTATGGGTCTGTATAAATTCAAGGATAATAGTATATAAATTTTAATTCAAACTAATGAAAGGTATTAAATTTCTTCACAAAATTGGAATTGGACAGTGGGATTTATTTGCAGGTTAATTTTTCCTTTTCTAAAAATAATCTTTGAATACTTATTAATGTTTTTTCTGTTCATTATGTTATGCTAGAAACGCTTCTTGAAAGGTGATGGAAGTTACTGCCTAAGAAGAATATGTAATCATAAACCACACTGAAAATAATCGAGATCTGCTGTAATAAAGGAGTACATTACATTCTATTGATGTCTTGAATCGTTCGAGTATCCAGAACCTATAAAAATGTTCCAATATTGTACAGTTTTCTTGAAAGTCGTTAAAGTTAACTTAATTACCTGTAGGTAAGCTTCTACTTTCCAAATCCATTTGCAATAAAAAACCCACTCATTCAGTAATACAAAAATAGATACTACTAAAGTCGGCGAATGTTTACTTCTCTATTAGAGAATATTTTATTCGCGTCACAGAATTGTGACCAATGAATGAAATACTCCCCAATCCTGAATCTATGCAGGCCCCCACAAAAACCATAAAATACTTCGATGCAACTTGTGTGACTGGTAGTGTTCCTTTCCAGATTTCCGAGCTCTTTCGCTCATTGTTTTCAATCGGTACCCGTCACATGCTTCGAGCTGGTCAGTTTGTAGTCATGCTTTGGGAATGTGCTTAGTGGCATGGATAATTTCGTATCGTTATTGTAAAATGTCGAGGTCTAAAACATCCACCAGAAATAACTACTAAATTGGATTTTTTAGATTTCTATTAACACTTATATTCGACCCTGTGATGTATCATTTCATCGCAAGTTATCGAACAAACTGGTTATTGGAGAATAGGCAAATTACTCGGTTGATTGATAACCTGTAAGTTGAAATAACGTGTAATGTTATATCATAGGGGTAATTGTTTGATTAGAACTGAGAGAAGTCTTTAGCTCGTTTGTACGCTTAATTGTTTAGTGATGAAACGAAGAGACAAGCACATTTCTAAAGTGTCTATATTTGTTCTATCCATCATGCATGATATACTAAATGAAGTATTTTTTAAATTGAAATATTTTTGTGGTCGGTGATAAGTATCTTACCTTACTTTATCTTATTTATCTTATCTTCTATACACTTTGTTCTAATTTACGAATTTTAATTAAAAATTCAATTGAGTTACGAAATCCGTTGAAATGGCCACTACAAAAAAATAATTAAGTACTTACGATAATCTGATGAAATAAATTCGTGCTAATTTCCTACAATGTTTGGGTTCTGGGCTAAATAAAGAGTCTAATTTTCCGAAGACACTTAAATTGTCCCGAATGTTTTGGAATTCTAGTGTATACTGGTAACATTGTTACAAATTTGAATTGAGCCGGTTCGTGACAGCTCGGTAGCTAATAAATTGATCGTTTATTCATCTCGAAAATGGGATTTCCTGGTGAATAGATGGAGATAGAAGTGTAAATAAGAGTATTTATTTTCGATTGGAGAGGTAAATAAAATATAAAACTAATTAAATTGGTAGCAAAAAGAGATTTAATGAATAAAGGAAACTTCCTGGACTTGGAATATTTTACATAAACCACAAAAAAAAATGAAATTAACACAAGATTGTTTGTTTTTTGTGGACGTATTTACAATACTAACGCAACATCAGTACATGTTAGTGGTGTCACATTATTGTCTTAATATGTTGATGATTAACATTGATCGTGAATGCTTTTTTATTCATTTAGATATACACACGTTCTCGTTTTTGAAGAACATGGAAAATTGTCGAAATTATCGCATACGTTATGTTTTTTGTTGTTGTGCTCTTGCAAAAGTTTTTTTCTCGCAGTGTCTAGTGTCGATCTTCTGTCAGATTATAAGGTGGAGGTGTAACGAAATGAATATTTAGTTTCGTTTCCCTAATGACTGGTTTAATTTTTATTTTTTTAGAGTTTATCAGGACACACCTGCTAGCTAAGTGATAGTGAACGTATCGATGAAATATCGAGTTTTATTTTAATAACGCTTTGTAATTACCGATTTTTTTCTAATGGTTCAATAAAATGATTAAGGGCAGTAAGTTGTTTTATTTTTTTATTGTAAGATATTTCGACAATTTTCTGATGTTCTTTAAGTATTGGTTGTTACTTAATTTACTATGCACAAAAGTCGTATCCTGTACATAATATTCATACGAGACAATGTGAATTGTAAATAATTGGAGATATTGGAAATAGCGAGACATTATATTGTAAATATTATCGAGAAGGATGCTTATTTTTGGATGTCACTGCACGAGGAGTTAGGATTATTAGCCTCATTGCATCAAATATAAAATTTAAATTAGGAAGGTAATATTGAGTATCAACCATGTTGAATGTAATAATATTTTAAGTAAGAGTAAAATTAATATTTGTACGTGTTTTTGTTACAGAGTTCGTCACCATGATGACCTCAAAGTGAAGAAACCAAGAATTGCATTTTCAGCTTTCCATTATTTCATCCCGGCTCATTGTCTACATTTTTCAACACCTCGAACTTTTTTGCTTTGTGGCCGGGCCCACTAAAGTGAATAACTTAAACGTTATTTGATTTATAAGACAAATTTAATTAATAAATATATTTATAAATTTAATATAATTGTAAATTTTTGTAAAATATTTTTTTCCGTTATGTGCTACATGTCTAGTTGAAATTTAACGAGAAATATGTAAAGTCACAAAGTATGAAAACGTACTTATAATGAAATAAATATCGTTCTATTTGATGTTAGTTTTAGGGGATACATAATTAGTCACTCCGTATTTTTTTCATACTTTGTGATTATGCAAAATTACATCTGTGCACTTACTATATAGTACGTATCCCCTTTTTTGAAATTTATATTCTGTTTTTCCCATTCTTGTAATTGTAGGTTTTACATTTTTTAGTCTAGAACTTTTTAATGTGCTGGAAGGTAGGCACGTTTTTATTGTCATCAACACTGATGCATAATGGAAATGTTAATATTTTTTAGCTCGTAAGGGGGAACTTGGTCACAAGGAATTTGCTCAACTTTTATTATTCAAACGAGAAAAAAATTTGTCGTAATTTCTTGAGACCATCCTTTTTTCATTGTAAGAACTTGGTTTTATCCAGCCTGATAATTTTATTTATTCTTTACTACTTAAGATCGGTAACGCATCAGTTACATGTGAAATTATTAGATGTTTAAATTTGAAATAAATGTGAGTAAAAATACTTTTCTGTGACTTAATTGTTCCCGTTATGATTACTACGAATGTTTTTTATGTTACAATTTTTTTCTTTACTTTTCAAAATAAAAATGTTTGAATTAATTTATTTTTCTGTTCCACATTGGGAAAATGTTTATTTTCGGTTTGTATTTTATTTTTAATGATACGAATTTTTTCATTTCAAATAAATTAGTACACTCTTCTTCATTGTAATAAAATTAATCACGTCAAGATATCAGGTAATTTAGGAATAATAAATCTTTGAAAAAATATCTCTAGAAATTTTTTGTAATTCATTGGTTGGCAGCACTAGTCCTTTTGCATTCGATCTATTGGTCAACTCGAGTGACAAATGACATATTCTGTTTGAAGTAGAAAATTGGTAAGATAAAAAAGGTAAATGTAAATTTAATAATTATTGTACGTTAGAAAACCTATTAGTTAACGTGTGAACGCTGAAAATTGTTTCTTAAATGATAATAAACGAAAAATTACTCAAAAAGATTGATAATTTTCAAATAGTCTGTTTCATTAGTGTCTTTTAAACATGCTTATGCGCCGTACAAATAAGTAGTTAATTGACATTCAATAATGCTTATAGTAAGCGTGTTATTTATTATGTTATAGATACATTATTTTTACAAAACTCCATAATATTTGTTAACAAAAATTTGCCGAGAAAACCATTTTTCAATTGCATAAATGTAGAGAAAATTATGGTAACGCGATTTTCAGAGTGATTTCTAATCTTGGTTGCTGTGAATGTGTCAACTGTCAAATAAAAAATATTTCAAAGCCTAACAAAAAGTAAGTGTAATTTATATTATATTAGGGCATATTTATCAGTATTTAGGCAGTTGAAATTATCTTAGTTATTCGAATTTTAGATATTTGCATATTTTTTAACTATTATATCAACCATCGCTTCTTCCTGATACTATAAAGCTTAGCCCATAAGTCAGTTTAGGTGGGTCAGATATTAGAAGTGAAACATCGTTAAAAATGAAGTCTGTTTAGGTGGTTCAGATATTACAAGTGAAACATCGTTAAAAATCTCAATTATTACTTCTCCCCATCGTTTCTTTATTGACTGTTACAAAATCTATCCAAAAATAATGGTTAGTAAATTGATTTATTTCCAGGTGATTTGATTATTTACAGGTTGATTTTTTTGAGTTTGCAATATTGAATATAGGCTATGGGTGCGATAAAGACAACTTCCATTAGACACTTATAAAGGAAAAAGAAAGAGTGATTTTGTGTCATTGCAACTTTTCACTCTAACAAACGTTATTTTAATAATCTTTTTTTGTTCAATACGTAGAAATGATCATATTGTAAACTGAAATGAACCAAGGAGTATTTATTATACATGAACCAATTTATAAAGTTTTAACTATAGATTGATACCCAGATTAACACATTTAATGAGAAGCTTTTCCAGATCACGCCCTTATGAAATCTAATTCATTTATAGGCACATAATATCTTCGAGATGGAGAAAATGGATAATTTAAACTATAACCAACCGGGTTTATCCGAAAACATTGAAAGCTTATTGAAGATAAACGACGTTCAATCAGTGCTGCAAAAACGGGCGAAATGTTTGATACAAAGCCGGGTAAATTAACCAAACTATTCAACAACCAACAGGCCAAGTATTTACCCAATTCGTTTCCAGCAAACCGAAGAAATCTCCATGTACCTACTTAACCAAGATAATAACGCGGTCATCGAAGACGTCGACGTGGAACAGGAGGAATTCAACGACCTCGAGAAACAGATAGAAACGGGCACCTCCCGCTGTTCCCAAGCCGCCGACGATTTCGACAGCGCTCTACAATCCTTCCAAGGCACCGAAGACGTGTGCGTCAAGCTCAAGGAGCACATCGGCCAGCTGCTGGACAGATCGCGATCCGTGGCCGTCGGTTACGCGGACCTGCAGGAGAAAATCTACGACCAGCACGTGGAATTCGAGAAGCGCGAGAAAGAGAGCGCCCTGCGCACGGAGCAGGTGCAGCGGCGCATCGCCGAAGCGCGCTCTAAGCGCGACAAGATGCGCGGAGCTCGCGAAGCCGATGCTGAAGAGATCGCCGCGCTGAGGCAGACGCTCGCTGAGAAGAAGTGCCGTTTGGAAAAATTAAACGAACGCAACGAAGAGTTTGAGTTGGTTTTAAAGCAGGACGTGGTCGAGAGGAAGGCGCTGCAGAAGGAATTGGACGAGAAGAAACAGCAACTTGAAGTCGCCCGGCAACAGCTCAATGCCATGATGGAGGAAAACGATATATTGGCGAAAAATTCTCAACGGGCTGTTGATGAGAAGAATCGAATGTACTATGCAATTTTTTTAATCAATTATTACGAATGAAAGCTACAGGGGAAAAACATTTTTTTGCAAAACTAAGCTCACAGTTTATTTTTATAGCATTTTGTAGTTACTATCAGATAATGAAATTGTTAAATGGTAAAAATTGCTGAAGTTCACACACCAACAGCTAAAAGAATACCTTTAATTTCAGTTTCTAACGAGTCACTTTCTAATTTTTCTCGAGAATCTTTTGGATGCACTATTATTGTTCTTCCCCTGTACTCTTCAAATATGTCTGCTTCATTGTTAAATGTACAAACATCGTGCATTTACGAACGTATTTGTAGCATTGAAGAAATCGAAAATAAAGTGCTCGAAGCACGCGAGAAATTGACAGAAAGTACGGCTCATTTTCAAAAGCTTATTGAGTCGAAAAAACAGGCTCTTTTGGAAAAAGAAATAAAGCTGAAAGAAGTCGAGCTTTGTAACATTGATAAGGAAAAGAGCTTAAGCGACTACCCAGATGATCTTACGTCGCAGATAGAGCAAGCTAAAACCAATTCGGAAATGGAAGAGAATAAATTGCGAATTTTAAATGAAGATCGTAACAAAATAAAGGATGTAAGTAGGGAGTAGGAATGTGTAAAATAATGGTACAATAACTAATAATGTAGATAATCTTTGATCATTCGAACACCCTTCAAAATCAACGTAAAACTTTATTCATATTACTAGAGTAGTTTCAAAATAACTTTACACGAGTAGCCTACATGTCTCTATTTATTATTTAATTTTCACTCCTTAAATCGTAGTAATTTAGGTGAAAACGTGTTGTTTAATCAAACTAATTTATAGGAGAAAACCGAATATATGAAGCTTCTGATGGAAAAGTTCAAAGAATTCAGTGAACTAAAGCAGAAACAATTCGATGTCGAGCGAGAAAAATGCGCGAATCGCGCGAAAATCGATACATTAAATGCACAAATGATGATCGACGAAGCGAAAATAAAACAAATCGAGTTCGATATCGAAAAAATACCGGAACACGAGTCGATAACCGTTTTAAACGAGCGACTACAACACTTTTCCGATCTGAAACAACGGCTACAAAACGAACAGAGGAAATCGAGAAAACAGAACGCTAAGGCCAAGAAGCATCTCCAAAATTTTACCGAAACAATCAACGGCTTAAAGAGAAGAATTGAAGTCATTAAAAAATCCAATCAAGCCGATGATGTTCAATTACCGTCGTCTTCAACAAAGGATAATGGTAATTTTTGCATTGAGTTTGAAATTATACGCTTATATTTTTACTACTTAGACACTCAACCGAGCATATTGAAGAAGAAAGGCACATTTGCTCGTCCAACAACTCCCAAGAAAGTTATGTTTATGAACGTTTCCAGCGATTCAAATGCAACGACCCAAAATAACGAGTAATTGCGAGATTATAGCGGAAGGTAAGTAATAATCATTTTTATTAATTCCCGTGTAGAGGGTTTTAGTGGTTTGCGAGATATTTCTCTAAAACTATACATGATTTACTACTACAATCATTGTGCATCTTAATCTCTAGCGCTATTTAAGTTAAATGTACAATAATCATAAAAATTGTCGGACGGAAATTGTCCAGAAAATAGATGTCAATAATTCGGGAGCGTATATAGATGACATCAAAATAAGGGTGCACCTTCATATACATTTTGTTCATTTGAGCCCCATTTTTGAGCTAGAAAGTTGAAAATTTAAAACAAAAATCTGTTTTCTGGACACCCTGTATATGTTCCTTATACATCTTCAAAATAATTGCATTCTATTATTTTTTTAGCGATCTCTCCAATTTTCTTGTGTTGCTATTACCATTTACTAATAATTACTACGATAATTGAGTTAGAAAGGTATTAAGAAAACTACATATTTCTGTTTTATTCAAGACATGTCTTGTAAAGAGTCTGGAAGTCTTATTTCGCTTATTATTGATATTATTTCCATTGTTTCTAAATCAATCAACTGCTGTATTTAATGTTTCTTCTTCAGCTTCGGCCACTCATTTTTCGTTAAAAATTAGTAATTAAATTTGATTTAATGTTAAAATATTGTATTTAAAACTAAAAATAAACAAACAGATTTTTTTTGTTCTTCAACTAGATTCAATCAAATGCGTAATTAGAAAATCACACAACAATATACTCGTATGTATTATGTTCTGTGAAAAGAAACAGAACTCACGGAAAAATCAATAGCGCTATCTGGTGTAGAATAGTTTCGAGTAGAACTTTTCCGAGGAAAAGGTCGACATTTTCTTCACGTACTTTGGTTACATTACAAGACAGAGGTTGCTCCAATACGTATTTTTTTAAAATGCTTTCTATTTATAGACAATGCATGATGTTTTGTGCAATATGCAGATTTTATTAACTTCATTTTTAATACTCCTTGCTTCCTCATTTGCTTATTTCTGGACCTTGTTAGGAATTAATCTAGTATTGTAGAGTGTTATGTTCTTGTGAATGTATTAGGTATACATATTGAAACAGAGTATTTATTTAATGAATATAACGTTGTTTTTCAAATTATTTAATTTTCTGTTTAACATTCAACTTCCATAATTTTATGAAGAGAGTATAGCATATAAAACGTGGTGAAACTCGATTGATCCATATTATTTCAAAATATATTTTAAACAGAAAATGTGGTAGGTACGTCTTCCCATTATTCTAGTGTAAAGAAACCATTTAATTAATTAAATTAGACCAATAATTCGAAATTTTGAGAATATGTTATAACATTTATTTCAAGTTGCATACAATGCTCTAAAAAGCTCCATGAACTAACAATAGTATTTTACGGCAACCGGTGTAAATTTTAAACCGATTAACCGATCCGATCGGCTTGATCCCGATAAGTCCGTATATGTATATGACCTACATTCCCAACTTTTCGAAAAACCAACCCGCTTATCCTCGCCCATCGGAACGCGGAACGCGATCGGCCTGGTCCCCCGAAAGTCGTAATCGCAATGCGCAGTGCGACACCGCACAACTGCCGCGGTGCCGTCTTCGGCGGAGAGAGCGCCTCCCGATGGCCGGCGACGGCGTCCCGTCGGCGGCGGCACGTCAGAGTCAGCGTCAGAGCGTCAGAGCGCCAGTTCAGTGCTTTGCAGCATGACGGGCCGTTTGGTGGCCCATCGACCATGTGAGCGCGTTGAGTGACCATGAAGCAGGGCCGGCAGAGAGCACCTCTGCGGGGGGCGCTCCTGCTCCTGCTGATCCTCTGGGCCCGATCCTGCGTTCCGCTCTATGCTCAAGATACAGGCGGTAAGCTAACTGTTGATTTATTTATTTATTTTTATTCGGGTGGGTGTTTTTTTTTTGGTGGTGGTTTGGGATGTGCTGCTATCTTGGTTTCTTTGTTTCTTTGTTTTGATTGTTTGGGTGTTTTTTATCGGATATACATACCTAAGGACTTTTTGAATGTTTTTTGGTACTTAATATAGCAAGATGTTGTAGTATACCATGATTTTTGATGAATTTTAGAGATTTTTTGATTTTTTTATAAGCAATTCGTGTTTAATTTTTAGGATTTTAGAGTTTTTTTAAAGGAATTTTCAAGTCTTACATGTATTTACATAATATATGAAATTTTTTTTTTAATATCATATCGAATTTTTGGTTTTTCTAGTTTTCGAAGTTTTGGTTTTGAAATTTTCAAGTTTTCTATTTTTATTTGAAAATTTTAATACTTTAGCAAATTTTTTCTGTTATTTCACAAGAACCTATTCATGCAGATCTCTTCTTAGTATCTACCTAAAACATGAAATAAATCTTAGAAATTATTTTGCTATAAAATAATCTTGAAAATCAAAGAAAACATCAAATAAAAATAATATAAAACTATATGTATGTAAATTGAGAAAAAATATGGAGAAATCCGGAGAAAACCACCAAAAAGAAATACTATGAATACTTACACTGTAAAAATCACACGAGACAGAACTAAATTTATTTCAAATATTGAAGGAATTCTTCAAAAATTCCACAAAAAAACTAGTCAATGTTCTTAAGTACCTACCCTCATAAAAATCATTAACAAACAAATTATCTCATCAACAATAAAATAGTGTCTAGAATTCAAGCGTAAAAAATATTTATTAACACATTATTAGAACAAAAAAATAGCGACAAGAGCCCTTGCCAGGGTTCGATATCGCTTGTTTCGACATCATTAGAATTCACGAAAGGCCCCTTTTTTCCGCGAACGAGTTAATCTTTCGCGATTTTTCCCGAAAACACCCGGCTTCGCTAAACTTTTACACAGCCCACGTTTTGATAGATTCGGTAGAATTAACTCTATTTCCTCTAATGGATTTTGCCGAAATTCTAATCTCACGCGACCCGATTCGAATCTTAGCCGTGGTAGAATAAAAATAAGAAATTTACTGGGCTTTACGGCCAGATAAAATATATCGTATCGGCTTTCTGAATATTTAGGCCCTGTTGTTCTTTTTCCCCGGTAAATGGACAATGATTAATGAGCCCCTGTACGGCTTTTGGCTCTTTCTAAATTAATTCTGTTTGCCCACCGAATCATGGTGAAAAACCGTCAGTTTTGATCGAGGGGTTTTTAAGGGGATTACATAAATACAATGCAGAATATATCACGGTACCTGATAATTCATTAACCCTTTAATGAATCCTCTTTATTATACCCTAACTAATTAGAGTCCTCTTTATTTCAACAGCTCTGGTTTAATTTTGAATTTGTCAGCAGCGTATTTAGTGCCTGTAATTTAAGCTTAAATTATGCAATTTTCTACCTTGCAGCTTGAGCTCGATCTTGTAAAATGTGGTATAATATCTTGAAAAATCGATTATACTATGTTCGCTTTTAGGAGATATTTAGTATATTAAACCCTTGAAGTAGCAAACAATTCGCGCAAACAATTCATTAAAAAGTAGGCACTATTGAATTAATAATATGATAATAACTAACAACTACCTGTTATAATCACTGCAGATTCAGATATCAATGAAAGCGCAATGTTTAATTTTAACGCAAGTAATTTTTAAATTTATTATATTCTTTTAGTATCTATATAATAGTTTTTAAAAGCCTATTGTCATACACCCTGTATATAGAGTGGCACTAATAAAATAAACTGAACATTATAATACACAATATTGTAGAAGCTTTAAAGTTTTGGAATATTATGATGTTTTCAATGACTCTCTCGTGCTCTCTCGCACACAAAATTAGGTTTTATTACTATCCCCTGATAGCGAACGGACTATTATTTTTCGTAGAAAATAACACACACACATACGAACTAAATTGCACGAGTCCGTGTCGTCCCTCAATTTCGTGGAGTTAATGTCTTGTAAACTTTAAACATGACATATCACACAACTCCCTGTGGATCGGGGAGGTAAAATCGATACATCTTTTTAATAACACACGCTTTTGCTATCTTGTCGATTAAAATAATGAGCTGCAATTTGAATCTAACAAGGTGGATCGATATCATCTCGAAGTTTTAGTAAACTGTTCAAACTTTGGGCGATCGTATGTAATCGAGATGTTCGATATATTTAATGGTATCTACCAAATTTCCTCGAGAAATAATTTCCTTCCACAAGCTTAATTAAATCCGAATTCTGTTAGAAAAACTCAGTAACGATCACAATAAGGGTTGAAGTTTATATCGTAGCGCGAATTGTACGGCGGTGAGCAGGGTGTTGGTAGCGACTTTCCTCAGAAATACTAATTAATCCTTTGTGCCCCGGCACATTTGCGCCCGGGATCACAACAAAGCCGTACGGTGAACTTCTTGGAATAACTGTGAGGTTGAGCGCCCGCTCGGTGCACGTATTCCTATCACAAAGAGTGATTTAATAAATCGATAAACGGGGAATTTTAATAGTTAATAAATAATCCGATAATTGCGTTCTGCTATTGCAAGAAAGTGAATTGAAATATGTACTCAATTTTTACCGGGTGGACCATAACAATCAAGAACCGTTCTATTGAATAATTATTGGACTATTTAAAGGTCCATTCTAGAGAATAATTGGACTAATCAATCGTCCTTTCTATAGAACAATCATTTGACCATTCAATGGCCTATTCTATAGAATAATTGGACTGTTTAATGGTCCATTCTATAAAATAATCATTGGACTTCAATAGTCTATTTTGCAAAATAATTGGACTAATTTATTGGACCTTTCTATAGAATTTTTGGAATATTTAATGGTCCATTTCTATTAATCATTGGACGATTCAATGGTTTATTTTGTACAACAAAATATACTGTTTTACGATCCATTCTATAGAGCAAACTATTGTTTGATGGAGATAAACGTTATTTTCAGAGAAGTTTCCAAACACAATTTTTGCTGGAATATCAAATTTTGCATTTCATATATCTGGAAAGGTACATTACATATATCAATTTTTAGAAGCTCGAGTCCGAAAACTGTCAACGGCAAACAGAACGTATCGATCCGACAGTTTTGTTGGAATTTCGCCGCCGTTTAAACGGAAAAGTCGCAAGAAAATTCAATCGTGAGCCCAATTAATTCTATTTCCTTTAGTTAGAATGGCCGTCCGATTGTATAAAAACTTTTAATTTTCGCCGATAAATTTTCCAACGATCGAAATTCGAAGAAAGAATTCCGAAAACTCCTTGCGAACTAATCGAAGGCTTTAATGGAATAATAGCGGGAAATTATTTTTCCAGTCGGAAAATATTTAATGAATTAAGGTCGAGCGAAAAATTTGCCTAATAGTATTGCCGAGGAGCCAATAAAATTTGGGTATTTTCAATTTTGATGACGAAGGAAAGGAACAGAGGAAAATAAAAAAAATAGGGAACAACTTGCGGAAAGAAAGGCTTCATTTTATTGAACAACATGTCGTATTGGGTACGCATTTGGCGGAAATTCGATATAAAAAACTTTTTATAGCTGAAATTAAATTCCAGATGTACCGAGAAATAAAGAATTGGGAATTTTTTTGGTTGTGAATGTCAAATACCTATATACTTTTGTTGATTGATGTCTTCTGTAAGAATATTATTAATATTGAATCATCCTGTACAGTGTAAAATATAAGTGTACATTATCAATACATTTTGAATCGACGATGATAATAGGTTTTATTCCTTACAAGGTTAAAAACGTTACTCATTCATCGACAAAAGTAATTATGGGTATGAAGGAAAACAATCTTCGATTTTTCAATATAGTTAATGGCACACAATTGCTACTGTGTAACAAAAGCTGCTTTACCGAGTACATTCAGCCAGTTCAAATAAATTGTAACCCTATCTGTCTAGATTGAATCGAGAATTATCAGGCGACCGCCGGCGTCGCGACGCCGTAATGCGTCATTTTGTGTACCTACAGGAAAATCAGTTTAAAAGCTTAGAAACGTTTTAAACTCGAAACGGTTCAATTCTTTGTTCTATTCTAAAATGTCACTGAAAACCAATGACGTGGCGTTGCATGTTAAGATATTATCGAAAAGTGAAAACCGTACCGTTAAATAACCCAGGGCTGGTCCCTTTTAATTTATACCCGTGAGAAATCGGTTCTACAAATCACAGTCATAGCTTTAGATTTTTATTGACTACTAGCACTACGTTTTAGATTTGTAATGGATATTTTTAAATGTTCGTACGAAGCTACTATTTTCATCGTGTTTTCATGTGTAACTTCCATGTTACTTTAAAAGTTAGGCAACCCAACAGCCACGTGTGGTATTAGACGAAGATAATATGTATTTTAAGGCAATTAAAAAATGGGAATGACTATTGTAAAATCCTTTCATACAGCCAAATTTATATTGAATCAATATTTATGCAGACATCACATGCTCAATTTATATCCATTTCTATTGGATTTATACGATTTTATTGTATATTAGTGCATATATGAATTAATTAAATGTAAATCATCTGGCATGGCGCCGATAAATTAGCAATATCCAAAATACTAAATTAGTCTATTCAAAATTAGTGAATGTAAACTACTCAGTATGTTAATGATATTTTCGTTCATTCGAAATTCAAGGAAAATTGAAAATCAATTGCGACAAATCGCATGGTAAATTTCCATAAAGCAGTTAAATCACAACAAAATTTAAATACCAACCGACGCAATTATTTGGTAATAGTTTTTCAGATTCAAATTTACAATGAAAACCTATTAAAATTGTCATGAAAATCCATTTAATTTCTTGAAGTTATTTTTATTATTGCCATTATTATGTTGAAAATAACATATATTTCTTTATTCTTCACAATGGTATAAGTCTA